TTGATTTATGTGTGAAATTTGCTAGATGACTATCGTTTTTCTTAGAGCAAAATTAAATATAATCTTTTTTTTCGAAGTTGCAAATATTTCAGTAAGCAGTTTCATGTTGTAACAATTACGGTCTTCCGTCAATTCACTTGGCTACTCCTGTGAACAGATATTGCACTATAAACTTATTTATGTGTGAAATTTGCTAGATGACTATCGTTTTTCTTAGAGCAAAATTAAATATAATCTTTTTTTTCGAAGTTGCAAATATTTCAGTAAGCAGTTTCATGTTGTAACAATTACGGTCTTCCGTCAATTCACTTGGCTACTCCTGTGAACAGATATTGCACTATAAACTTCATAATGACCCTTGGAGGCGACATCTTTCTCAACAAAAGGATTATGGACTTCCAAAGGCTTGTCGGAGAACAACTAGCTAAAAATATTTCATTAAGATGACAAGATGACAATGTAAAAAAATACCTCTCCTAGAGTGAGTTGTAACTTCTCAGGTCATCATATGCAAGTAATCAGTCAACTCTAGGCATGGGTGATTTACTGATTACCAAGATCTTCGATGCTGATCAGCGAGGATCTGGAAATGCTTGAGTAGATGGAGTGTACAGTGAACGGATGAAATGATTGTAAATGTGTTTAAGTGGCTTCTCAATACACAAGTGTAACAGCCATTTTTATTTTTTTAAATCTCAGATTCATTTTATACACAAGTGTAACAGTCATTTTTGTAATGTCAGTGATTGTCGAGACGTATATTAGCTGTGAATATTATTATTATTGGTAGATATTAGGGTTGTTAATGATATCCCTTAATTTGAGGGATTTAGTTAACGTATTTTCCTATTTCTAGATTAGGTAGTAGCCCTAATGAATCAATGAGAATATCAAGAATACTTCTCTCAATTTTCCTCAACATGGTATCATAGCCCTAGGGTTTCTTTGCCAAAAAAAAAAAAAAAAAAATTGCTGCAATACAGCCTTCGTCATTGTCAGTTTTTCACAGCCTTAATTGCTGTAATTTATCTCGTCTATCATCCTTCTGTTTCTTCACCATGTCTACGTCCAAAATTTCCATCTTAGAGGAAGTAAATTATGTCCAAAAAACTGGTGATCTACAAAACATTAGGGCTTCCTATGGACTCAATGGAAAAAACCACCTTAAGTGGTCTCAATTCGTTCGCACATACCTAAAGGGTAAAGGAAGACTTAGTCATCTCAGAGGAACGGGACCAGAGAAACGAGATCCAACATTTGGAGCACGGGTTGAAGAGGACTCAATGATTATGTCAAGGCTTTGGGATTCAATGGATCTTGTCATTAGTGACACTTGCATGTTTCTTGCTTCTACAAGGAAGATTTGGGAGTTTATCCGACGCACCTACGCAATGGATCGTGATGCGGCCAGGATTTATGAGGTAAAAATCAAAAGTGGGGAAGAAAAATAGGGAAATAAAACTGTCACATAATATGCCAACCTTCTGCAGAATTTATGACACGAACTTGATCACTATCGAGCGTTTGAGATGATGGGTGCAGAGGATGCTGCAACTCTAAAGAGCTTTATTGAAAAAGATCGGGTGTATGATTTATTAGCTGGTCTGAACCCGGAATTTGATCAGGTTAGAGTCCATATTGTTGGCAAAGAAAAACTGCCATCACTGGAAGAGACAATTTCGTTGATTAGAGCCGAGGAGAGTAGGAGAGACATAATGGTGGAGGCCCTAACAACTGAAGGGTATGCATTAGCAACAAAAGCAGATCAACAGGAGAGAGAGAGAGAGAGAGAGAGAGAGAGAGAGAGAGAGAGAGAGAGAGAGAGAGAGAGAGAGAG